GAGCCCATGTCCTCGCACATTACAATACCCACCCTCCCCCCCGGCACATCTTATCTTGCATGCTAGTAACTAGAGTGAATTCTTATGGGCACCTACTTGTTCTGATTGACACTGCTCGGAGCGCCACACACACAGCATACTGAAGTCCCCATCTACCTTAGGATGGGGATGTAGAGGCGTTGGCAGGTTCTACAGCCTATGCAGACAGGAGCCGTCCCGACCCCACCATCTCCCCAGTGCCTGCATTTCATGGCAGAGCTACACCACTGCCTACCTTCAGCCCAATGACGTTCTGTCCGTTCACCTCACACACATAGTGGTTGGTGAGAAGTCCATTCCGGGCGGCGGAGCTTCCCTTTACCACAGATACAATCTTCCCCTTCTTGATGAAAAAGCCAACTTGGCCTGAGCTGTCCTTGTGCATAGTGACAGTCCTCTGGAATGGCCTAGTAGAGAGTAACAGTAAGCTGGGCTTGTGGGCGTGGCCGGGGCCAGGCAGGGGGGATGCTGGGACCTGGCGCCTGACCTGTCCCGAACAATCATGACGATCTTCTCGGCCGATGCCTTCTTCAGCACTTTGTGGGCTTTGTGTGTGCTCCACCCAGCACAGTCACACCCATCGATCTGCAGGATCTGGTCCCCAAAGCGCAGCCCCACGAGGGACGCAGGGGTATTGGCCTGAACCAGCTGCACAAAGAGCCCCTGGGAAGCAAGATGCCAGAGTCAGCACCCCTGGCCCCTCTACGATGTTCTTTTCCCCTTACCCTGTGAGCTTACAGTGTAGTGGGATCTAAGATCTGCAGGGGGATACGCAGGTTACCCCCGTTTTCCTAGAGGAGAAAACACACCAGAACCCACAGAGCACGCCGAATTGGGATTTCAGCATTACACTCAATTCTCCTGTAGCACCCTTCCCAAGGGTATCTGGCTGGCTTTCTCTACAGTCATCAGGAAGCCAGACCCATGGGAATTGGGGTTCAGGAAATGGGGGCTCTGAGAAAAAGGAGCCTAGTATGGGACTTTCACAGAAGATTCCTGCTGCAATTAGGCACAGCCTTGAGGCCTCGGTTATTAAGGTGCCCGCTTTCAACCTTCCTTACTGTGGGGCTCTCTAAGCCCTGGGAGGGGAGGCCCCTGTACACTATGCCATCTCAGTCTGCCTGGAAACTGTCCCAAAGGAAAGCTTGTGTCCCTGGGGCTGTGACAAGGGCTATTTAGCACCAGAGGGGAACAGGCCTTCGCAGACCTGGCTTACCTTGTCAACAGTCTGCAGACGCAGTCCAGTCTTGCCACGCTCGTCCTTGCACAGATGAATCTCACGCACTCCGGGCTTGATCTCTGCACGCAGCACACCCAGGTTGTTCCCAGAGACTGGTGCTACTACCTGGCCAGGCCCAGGGCTAGTGACCATCATCTGCAGACATAGTAGTGGGGAGTTAGCCAGGCACATGGGGCCCGTGCCTCGAGGGTCCCTGGGTTCTAGGAAGGATGAGTAAGAAACTGAAAAAGTCCAAGTTACACACACGCACACACATACACACACATACACACACACACACACACACACACACACACACACACTTTGCAGAGGTTGAAAAGGAACGAAGCTTGATGCTGCCACTAGAGGGCATCACAATCCATACTCCTAAATATGAGAAGAAAGGGAAAGGAAGCTGGGTTCAGGAAGGAGCCCCTTTATTTTCCAAAGGAGATGAATATCAAGAAAAGATCTACTTACAATTCACTTAAAACAAGGACATTTTTACGGCAAATGATGAGCCATGGAAAATGAAAGATAGGTGTAACTTTGTCCTGAACCAAGAATAAAAATTAGTGAATGATTTCCTCCAAGGAGACAGAAAAGCCATTAGGAAAATGCAGGTGAAGACTTGTCATAACTAGTGGTGACACCGAGTGCTGGTGATGATGTAAAAGCACCAGGCATTTGGCACCACTGGCAGGAGAGGAGAATGCATAGCCCCTCCAGAAAATAGCCTGACAGCTGCCCATGAACATACATTTATCACATTGTGCAACAATCGCAGATTCCAGCCTGTTGTGCCAAAAAAGGAAACGTGTATCCATTAAAAAGTCTTTACATAACAGTTCTGTATGTAATCGTAAGAGACTATAAAATTGCCAATGGCAGGTAAGAAGTGGCAGCTAGGCACACATGAGAACCTGAAATCAGATTCTCAGAATCCACATAAAAAGCTAGGCACATGACCATGCATCTATCACCCAGTGCGGGGGAGCTGGGGAGACAGAGACAGGAGGATCCCTGCCATTCATTACCCAGCCTGGCTGAATCAATGAGCTTCAGGTTCAGTGTGAGACCCTGTCTCAAAAAATGAAGGTGGAAAGGGCTAGAGCAAGACATCAGCCCTAGTCTGCACATACGCGTGCGCGTGTGCACACACACACGCACACACACACACACACACATCCACAGACACACAACTAATATATATGTAGAACACCTCCAAAGAGTCATAGTTTCTGGTTTTCACTTATATAGCATTATGAAGTGATAAAATTATAGACAGAAAACAAGGCTGGGAGTGTGGCACAGTGGTAGAGCATCCTTACGTGAGGTACCCAGTATTGCCAAAGAAATAAAAAGACAGGGAGGAGGAAGAGTAAAGAATGGAAGAAAGGAAAGGAAGAGAAGGTTTCCTAGAGTTTGAGAGGGTTGGAGGAAGGAGGAAGTGTGACCACAAGGGATAGAAGCTCTTCCTGAGGAGAGATGGTCCTACCCAGAACTATAGACACACTCTCCTAGTGTAAAATATTGGACTTGCTATTATACTACAGTTATGACAGCAACACTTGGTGAAACAGAGTTGCAAGTTACCAGGAACCTACTATTTAAAAACACAAAAAGTTGAAAGCATTGAAAGTAATTACAATAATAAACATTTCTGAGTATGGAGCTGGAGAGATGGCTCAGCAGTTAGGAGAACTTGCTGCCCTTGCAGAGGGCCCGGGTCTGGTTCCCAGTACCACAGGATGACTCATAACCTTCTCGAACTCCAGTTCTAGGGGTCTGCCATACCCTTCAAGGCTTCCTCAGGTACCAACCACACATGTAGTACACATATGTGCAGGCAAAATGATCATATACATAAAAATATAATAAATCTTTTTCAAAAACATCCAGGAAGTCAAGCAGTGGTGGTTCATGCTTTTAATCATGGTACTTGGGAAGCAGAGGCAGCCTGGTCTACAGAACAAGTTCCAGGATAGCCAGAGCGACACAGAGAAACCTTGTCTCAAACAACAACAACAACAACAAAATCTAGAAGAAGTGGTGCATGACTTTAATTTCAGCACTTGGAAGGTAGAGGCAGGTATTTCTATGACTTTGAAGCTATGGTCTACATAGCCGGTTCCAAGTCAGCCAAGGCTACACAGTGAGACCTCATCTCAAAAAAAAAAAAAAAAAAAAAAAAACAAAACAAAACAAAAAAAAACCACCCATCATAAGTCAGGGTGAGTGCATCTGGGTTATAAAGAATGGCTGGGTTGACACACATGTATATGCACACATGAACATGCATGCACACACACACCTTTTTAAATGGTAAGATCAAGGTGTTTAGTGGTCAGCTGCGGCAGGAGACAAATACCTACATTGCCACCATCTGGAATCTGAGGCAGGCTCTTCTGGACTTCTTGGCTAGAGAGGGACAGCCCCATGTAACTCTCCAGTTCTGCCAAATTTGGGTACAACTCTGGTGGGAAGGAAGAGACAAGGTGTCACTCAGCAGCTGGTGCAGAGCTGACTTTGGTTGGCCAGGGTCATCCATTCTCAGTGAATCTGGAATACTTCAAGAGCACTCTGATCCCCTGGAGCATGTAGTGTGTCCCAGGGATGCTTGCCAGTGGCATGGGCCAGCTCTGCCAGAGGCCTAAAGCACCCTTGTCTAGGAGCAGCCTCAGACATCACTGAGGTACTCAGTTCAACTGCTTCAACATCAGCTGGACCGGGGACACAAAGCCAGAGAAGGGGCCGGACTACCAGGGACCACAGGCCATGACGGAGGGCAGCTCAGAGAGACAGCAGAGCACAGAAAAGGGGAACCGTGGGCTCTAGTTTCTCTCATGGGGCTGACCCAAGACTGCTATGGGCTTCTATAAGGGTGACCTCAAAATCTGCTCTTCCCAGATGGTCTGCCTATGGTGGCACCAAATCAGGCAAATTCTGCCTCACTGTCAGTTTCTTCAATGTTTTCTCAAAGGGCAAAGGTTAATTGTACACGAGCCCCACCAAGTGACAGGTGAGAAATGGCCAGAATACCGGGCCACATCCTCAGGGTCAGGACAGCGCACACACCCAGGAGAGGGGGGCTGCCCAGGAATAGGAGCCTGAAGTTGCCTTCCTAGTGAGAGGCCTGGCAGTGCTGGGGTGTGTGATGGAGTTGGAGCTGTCATGTCACTGGGGTCAGACTCACTCACCTGAAAGTGGGGGTGCAGAAGCCATGGAGGTCAACGGAGTGGGCATCCTGGGTGAGGCTCTGGCTTGGGCCTGAAAAGAACATGGAGAGTTGCTAGCTCTAGCTGGGACTCGTGGAGCCTGGGACTCCCTGAGGCGGGACCCTGAGCATTGAGTATGATTGTAGACGTGTGGTGGCAGGGTGCTCAATGCTCCAAACCACATGTAAATGTAGCCTCTACATATGCACGTGTATAAGCCAGGTATACAAGGTCAAATACTGCATGTGCTCACTCACACCAAAGCTAAATGGATCGTGCTCTGTAGCACAGTGGAGCAACTATGATGCACAGCCAGCAATGACTAATATTCCAAAATAGCTCGGGGGAGTTTGAGTATTCCAAACCCAAAGAACTAACATAAGCCTGGAGTGATGGATGTGCTAGCCCCCCACACCCTATCTAACCAGTACAGTGTGTACACAGGTGGAAATGTCACATGTACCCTACAAATATGCATAGCCACAAAGTGTCAATTAAAAATAAAAATAGTATGCTTCTTATGGCTTATGAGAAATGGGGCTCAGCAGCCAAGAGTACTTGCTGCTCTTGCAGAGGATCTGGGTTCAGTTCCCAACATCCACATTACAACTCACAGCCATCTATAACTTCAGTTGCAGAGGATCTGACACCCTCTTCAGGCCTCTGTGGGTACCAGACATGCACATGGTACATATACATTCGTGAAGGGAAAACACATATACAAAGTATAAAAATAAATAAATTTTTTTCTTAATGTGACCTCTTTGGACATGCATCTTTCTGGCAGAAAGTTCTCTGGGGCCTGTAACTATTTTCTTCCCATGGCAGCCAAACCACGAAAGCCCAACTCCCCACCGAGTTCTCAGGGAGAAAGGCTGAAATTCCCAAAGACTTCTAGGAACTAGAGGGGGTTGGAAGAGGCTGTCTGGGGTTGAGCATGCTAAACCCTGCAGTTCCTGGGGAAACTGGCTGGCACCTGGGGTACTCCTTCAGAGGATGGGCAAGTGTCAGAACCCACATGACTGTGGCTGCTTTTTTTTCCTCTCAATGGGCCTTGACTCCTGGACTCTCCCCTCTACCCATCAGCCCAGTGGTTCTCATCATTCCTTGTGCTGTGACCCATCAATACAGTTCCTCATGTGTGGTGACCCCCCACAACCATAAAATTATTTTTGTTGTTACTTCATAACTGTCATTTTTGCTACAGTTATGGATAGTAATGTAAATATCTGTGTTTTTGCGACGGTCTTAGATGACCCCTGTGAAAGGGTCATTCAATTCCTAAAGGGTGTCTTGACTCACAGGTTGAGAGCCACTGCATCAGCCTCTGCACTGGGTCCCAGGGCTTCCAAGAAATTCCCAAGGGCTCCCAGTACCCAGCATCCCCTAAGACAAGCTTTGGTTACTAGGGTTAATTCCCAAGGTCACCATAAAGGACTCTAGATGAATAGAGCCTGTTTCCTTACCTGGATGACTTGGCCCACCTTCAGGTCCTCCAGAGATGGGTACAGGACAGACATACTTGCTCCTCGAAATACCCTGTAGAGTAGAGAGGGTGACGAAGGTCGAGGATGCAGCTCCCAACCTTCTGAAAAAATGCAGGACAGGCTCCTGCCGCCTGTAAGCGCTCTAAGACCACCACTAGGAGTTGCTGTCCCATTTTAGGGATGAAGAGCCAGGATCTACAGCAGTCTGTTTCTCAAGCTCATAATCTCCACCCACAAAACCCCACATCTGACTGATCCTGAACCTTAGAAACCAAACCTAGTGGACTGTTCGAGATGTAGCCAGAAGAGGCAGGGTCAAGGGCCATGTGAACCAGTGAGTTTTCCTCATCCACATCCAACTCAGCAGGTGCACATGGAGCAGCTGTTGCACACCAGGTGGGGCTGGCAGCTGGCACAGCATCACTCACAACCAGAAGCAGTTGGGACTTAGCGTTGAAACAGAAAGGCGGGAGACTCTTGGCACTCCCAGCCCTTCCTTCCATTATGAGTATCTCAGCTCCACAGTGCACCACCGTCTTAGGCAGGGCTGTTGCTGCTGCGATGGAACATCATTGATGACCTAAGTCACAAATAATCCCTCACCAGTTCCGAATTATGAATAATAAAAGGGTTATTTGTTTTGTGGAGAAAACCTACAGATCACTGTCCTAGACAACAATCCTCTGTGGAAACAGGAACAGAGTCTAGCACCCAGAGGCAGGAGCAAGAGAGTGGGCGCATGTTTACCGCTGCTTTTATAGTATAAGAGAACACACCCAAGTGGGCTGGTATCTTAAAGGCTATTGGCTGAAGGAGTGGAATGTGCTCCCACAGCACCTCCCCCTTTTGTTTAAATAACAGAATTCCCAAACCCAATACAAAACTATATACACTAGGAACAGATATCAAGTATAATTAGAATTACAATCAGCATAAACAATATTAAGCAAGGAACTTATGCTAAATGTTTTAATAAACATTCTATTCTATGGAGTCTAAGTGATCTGTAAGTTTTCCCTTTAAATAAATAACCCTTTTATTATTCATAATTCTGATCTGGTGAGGGATTGCTTTATGACTTACATCATCATCTGGCACCCCTGACTCTGCCATACTTCCTGCCCTCTGCCAAGCAGGCCACTCCAGCTGGATACCACACCCTACCTCCCTGTCACCTCCCTCTTGCTGGATCTGCCTCCTAGGGTAAAGGTTACTGCCCTGCACACTGGGCCCTATCACCAGGATAGGCTCTGAGCTATATACCCACCTCGAACTCTTCAGCTATCCCGTGCCTTCCCAGTTCATGGCCACCAATCATGGTCAAGGTATGTCCTTCTGGCCCACATGTAACAGGAATGCCAGGAAGTGGCATAGGGAACTGACTAGACTGTACCATGATGTGTGAAACCAGCCCCATGACCCTGCATGACCCACAGGGCACTGAGGGCATTCTCATGAGTCAGTTCTCCCTCTGTACCTGCTGCCTCAAGCCATGTCCTCCTTAGCTACTCTCCCACTACCCTTCTCATGTAGTATCAAGTCCCTCCCACCCATGTCTCTGCCATACAGACCTCCTTCACTGTTCTGTCACTCATTAATGGCACAGCATCCCCTAAATCGGCCATGGCTTCCTCTTTCTCCACTCCCCAGACAGTATGCAAAAGGACTTTTAAAGCATGAAGCCAGAATGCTGTGGCTTTGCTTGAAGCCCCGGGCCTCTTGGAGGCAAGAGCTGATGAAGAGGCCTTGGAGGAGCGTGGCTTGCCAGCTGCTGCTCTCAGCTGCTCTCCATGACCCCTTCATACCTCCAAAGCCAGTACCACCTGGGTGGGTCTTACACTACCAAGCCCAGCTGCCAGCCCATGGCACAGCATTGGCTGAGTCTAGAACACAGCATCTCTGTGCTGATCTCAGGAAACGCTTCCCAGATCTCACCTGACTAACGCGGGTCTCTTAATCCCCTCTAATTCTCAGTTCCAGCTGGCCAGCATCTACTGGCCGAGGAAGTGACGGTTATTTACTTCTGTGGTGCTGGTCTCTTATTAATTACAGCTGAGTCTTTAGTCCCAGCTAGCCAGACCCACAGTCTCAATTCAAAATATCAAACAGCCTCCACTAGGGCCTTTGCTTCTCTCTGAAACTTCGCAAGTCGGGCCTCCGCCATCTTCACTGCTCTTGGCACTATTCTCTAACCTTCAAGTTCTCACAGTAGCTCACCAAACTCTGGACACTCAATGGTTTTTCCAGCCCAAAGTGCCAAAGCCCTTCCACAATCCTCCCCAAAATATGATAAACCACAGCAATAGCCCACAATCCTGCTATCAAGTTCTGCCTTAGGTTTATTAATAACGTCATGAAACACAGCAACTTATGACCAAAAGCAACTTGGGGAGAAGCGGGTTTCTCTTTCATATTCGGAATCACAGTCCATGAGGGACACCAAGGTAGTAATTCAAAATGAACAGGAACCTGGAGGCAGGAGTTGATGCAGAGGCCATGGAGGAGTGCTGCTTACTGGCTTGCTCCTCATGGCTTGCTCAGTCTGCTTTCTTATAGAGCCCAGGACCACCAGCCCAGGTGTGGACCTACCCAACAATGGGCTAAGCCCTCCCAAACCAACCTCTAATCAAGAAAATGCTCGACAGGCTTGCCTGCAGCAGATCTTATGGAGGAGGCATTTTCTCACAGAGGTTCTCTCCTCTCAGACAACCCTATCTTGTGTCAAGTTGACATGAAAATAGCCAGCGCGCACTCGCCACACACACACACACACACACACACACACACACACACACACACCATTAGCTTCCCTGGAACATAGTCTGTATTTCCTAAAATGGCCCCAAGGGCTTCCTAAATCTTCTCTGGAATGGAACTGGTGGTCCAAGGGCCAGATATAAAGAAATTGCACTTGACCTTGCAGAATATCTAACAATTTGCTGCTTAAATGCAGAATTGTAGATGCTACCCTTCTGATTGGTTCTGGAAAAGCAGGAAGCTTTGGCAACTGAAGCTTTAGTTGAACACCCCCAGACTCCAGTGTGCATGGCCACCACTCTCCATTGCCTCTTATACCCAAACCACTTTATTCATTGGCATTGAGTTCCAGTAGATGTTTGTTTGCCATTTTGACTTTACTCCCCAGTTCCACATCTTCCTACTCCCCCAACCCCTACTTTCAACTGCTGCAACAAGGAAAGATTTTTCAGATACTGGAATGGATGTCACTCTCTCCCTCATTTCTCAGCCTTAGAGTGGTAGTCCCTCTGTCTGACAGACTGTCTGGATCACAACCTCTGGTCCTTGTCTAGCTCATTCCTAATAATTCTCAAGTCTAAAACCATTGGATCCTTCACATAGGAAGCCTGCTTTGATTGGTTCACGCTGTAGTGTTCCCCCTATGTCCTTATCCTGTTGATTAACCAGTCTTGTAGTTGACTCTACTTGTCTCACGTTTTGTTAGACTGGGAGTCCCAAGAGGGCCTTCTCATTGGCTGCAGAACCTCTCAAACCTGTGCATGGAGGATAATGCAATGATATGGCAGAGGCAATACATCTGGCCCTTCCACTCTTCCCCTGTAAAGCAAAATTCTGTTATTTCAAGACCATGCCCTTCCTAAGAATGGAACCAAGAACCAGAGGTCTAAATGTATCTTGTGAGGCTTTTTTGATTTTTAAAATATGCATTGGTGTTTTGTCTGCATGTATGTCTGTATGAGGGTGTCAGGTCCCCTGGAACTGGAGTGACAGACAGTTGTGAGCTGCCATGTGAGTGGCGGGAATTGAACCTGGGTCCTCTGGAAGAATGGCCAGTGCTCTTGACTGATGAGCCATCTCTCCAGCCCCCACCTTGTGTGTCTTAATCCTGTATAGTTCCTTAAATATGAATTGTCAGATCATGGGCCCGCCCCTTTAAGATGATCACTCTAGGGGACCAGAGCCTTCAGCCTGATTTATGATCCTACCCAGAACCAGGCTCCTCTGTGCTCCTTGTCACGTGGTCTCTCCTAGACCAAATCATGGGGTGTGGCACTTTCTGCCACTCTCTGAAAGGACATAAAGCTCAAATGCTTTCCCACAGTTCACTCCTCCCTGGTCTGTCTATGACAGTTTCTCTCTGTCTCTGTCTTTCTTGTTCCTCTCCAAGTTTTGAAGGGAAGCCCTAATCATGTTGTTTTTAGTAGAAGATACCGTCCTTCTTAATGCTCTTCCTTGCCCAGGCCTGATCACGGCTCCTGTGATCTCAAGGCTTTCCCCCCAACAAAGTTCATTCCTGAAGGGTATTTTTGTGTCGGCTTCTTTCCAACACCGTGTCCAACTTACCCAACTGCTTGCAGCCTCTCTTCTCTGATACGAACCTGTGTCAGAGAATCTGAAAATAGGAAGTTCATTGCTAGTTTGTACTGAAAAATATAAATAGCTGACAAGGGAAGTAACATAGCCAGGACTCCTTCACAGATGGACGGGACCTACTTCCCTGCGGCTCAAGTACCCAATCAGTCCTTTGTTGATTTGTGTTGCCTGCTTGGCTGCTGGAGGAGACAACTGCGGTTCTCAGTCCTAAACTAGTCTTCAGGACAAGAATGACTATCCCAAGATAAGAATTCCCAAGAGAAGGGGCCAGTATGACTCTAACCTTTTAGATCAGCTAAGGGAAAACTTCTTCGGGAACCAGCCCTACAGTGCACCCTCCAGGTGGCTTTTAAGCTTGAAATAACGCGCAGCAGTTACCATATACCAAATTATGCCTTGACACCAGGAGTATGCACTGCATAAATACGGACCTAAGGGACCACCCTGTCTACCTTTTTCTGTTGTTTTGTTGTTGTTTTTGTTTTTCGAGACAGGGTTTCTCCGTGTTTCTCTGGAGCCTGTCCTGGAACTCACTTTATAAACCAGGCTGGCCTCGAAATCACAGAGATCCGCCTGCCTCTACCTCCCGAGACTGGATTAAAGGCATGTGCCACCGCCCGGCTATGTTTACCTTTTTCTAACCATACAGCAATAGATCAGGCGCATTTTGCAGCTGCCCTCTGAGTGAAAAGAGGTCCAGAGCCCACTAAAAGGGGTGGTGCAGTCTTTTATTGCAGGCTGCTTGGTGCATAGTCTTTTATTGCAAGCTGCTGTTCTTTTCCTCACTACAAGGCGTCCTTGCCTGGGCAGTAACTCAAAGACGAACCGTGTGACCCGTCCCTTCTCTTTAGAAATGGGAGTGAGTAGGCACAGACTCTGCACACTTCACACACTCAGGATCCGGGAGCGTTCCAATTGCCCAGGGACCATCCTCCGTACGCACCTCTGTCACACGGTTCCATGGCCACCCACCCCACAAGCTGCCTACACTTCACAATCTTAAAGCTCAGAGCCCAGCCGGAAGTCGCGTCATCCTTGTGGGCTACAACAGAAATCCCGCTCGCTTGCGTACGGTGCCAATGGCGCAGGCGCACCCGGCCCTTTTGCTGCGGGCTCCCAGAATACCCCGCGGCTGCAGAGCCACCATAGCATCCTATTGCCGCCGAGTTGCAGAAGGTGCTAGTAGAATCCACCCAGCCTCTGATCTCTTTCTGGCGTCAGTATCCAGAGTCCAGCAACACAGCGGAGTACGGGACGCGAAGACCAGTCAGGCTCTGCAGCCCTCCCTCCCCATGTGTACCCAAAGAGACTCAGAGCCGGTGGTTCTCCAGAGAGCCCTTTGTTGGTCTCAGCTGGTCACCCTGCTTGACTTTCTGGGCACTAAGGCAGCAGTGGATAGGAGAGGAGAACAGAGTTCACACCGGGCCCCCGCTGCTCGTTCTGAAAAGGAGAGTCCCTCTCCCTTTTAATTTAGAAGTGCCTTCAAATCCCTAGGTGTTGCCTCTGATGTCCTCCTCTCCCCCACCTCAGGATTCCGGCCTGACCCTGACTCTTGCTTGACCTGCCCTGCTTGAAATGCACCCCCCGAAACACAGGCACCAACCACCAGAGATGAAACTATTGGCTGCTGGCTGCCCAGGGAAGTGGGCTTGGCTGAGCAATCACTTCCCACAGACAGTCAGATTGTTTACCCTTCGTAAGGGACTTAGGCAATGGACTCCATGGGGTGCAGGGGAATAGCTGGAAAAGCAAGGAAAAAGGTCATCTCTGAGGGAGAAGACCCGCCTATGCCCATGAAGGATGGGGCGTTTAGGTCAGTGAAGGGAGAGTGGACTATTCCTAGCTAGGGAGTTCCACCTGCTGTTTGGATATTTATTACCTTCAAGAGACTTTCTGGAAGTTTTCCCAAATCTTGCCTGCAGCCCCACCAAATACACCCACGGGCTGCGCCAGATATCTGGGAGTTACCCTCAGCCCCTGCCTTTACCTTCTGGGAGAAGCAACACCTAGCTCTTGACGTCAGAATTAATCTCAGACTTCAAAAATGTCCTGAGTGACTCCTGGCGGGCATGTCTCTGTCATTCATTGCATTTCGTTCATTTCACACGGCTTGCTGCTTCTAGAACTCAGCCTGCTCCCCATGCTCACTCCCCATGCCCGCGCCCCCGGGCCCGCTCCCCGTGCCCGATGCCCCATGTTCGCTCCCTGTGCATGCGTGCTCTGCAGTGCTGTTCCCTGTCTTGAATGCCATCCACAGTTGTGGCAAACTGTTCCGTTCTACGCCTCCCTCTAAAATATCTTACCCCCACACAGCCCCCAAGGTCCTTCAAAGCTCTTCCCCCAGACCACAGCACCTCCTGTATTCCCTAGTCATTATTCACTCGACAGATGTTTGGGAAGCACTGAGCCAGGCCTTCTGCGTTTCCCTGGACTGAAATCCCACCATGTTGTAGAGTTTGCCTGTCGTCCTCACTGGCCAAGCCCAGAGTCTTCCTAAAGTTAGAGCAGGAGAAAAGCAGACACTGGAAAGAGAATTCTGACACCTAGTGGGCCACTATTTCCTCCCAACTGAAACGGCAGCCCCAACCGGGAAGGGAGTTGGAAACCTAAGGAAGCATGGGAGACTCTGAGAGACTCGGAGCACATCTTTCCCTCCCCAAGGTTATATAAGCAGTGAGCAATTGTCAGGGCAGAGACAGCTCTTCTGAGGAGCGATCTGCAGTCGCTACCCTTGCTGAAGTGGGCTCTTCCGTGACGTAGCTGCCTTCAAGCCACCCAGGCCCTTTCAACCCCACTAAACTCCATGGTTTTGCCACAGTAGGCATGGGGTCTTTTAGTTGGTCTGTCATTGGTTCTGAGGTGAACAGAGGTTTGTTCACATCTCCCTAGGAATGTCACCTGACACCTAGATAAACATTCTTCAGTGTAGAAAGTCCTTGGAAGAATAACTGGGCGTAGAAAGGGAAGCTACAGCCCTAATGAGAGACATAAAGTCGTGTGACAAGGAGTTTGTTCAGTTCCTGCAAGTCATTAGCTTCTTCCTTGCGCCTGGAGGGACTTTCCTTCCCAACACCTTTCCGATTCCATCCCAGAGCTTTCTATAGCTCTTCATATCATAAGCAACAATAACACCCACAGCGTATCAGCAGTCAGACCCTGTGGAATCAGCAGGGCTGGAAAGGGGCCATCAGCCCCCGTCTTTGAACTTGAAGAACACTTTGTTCCGAGCTGCTGGAGCTCTGGGACTCCCACTTGTTCCTGTGGACAGCTCATCCATCCTTTAGAACGCAGAAGCGTGGGTTACTGTGGTGGAGTAAATAGCTCCTGTAAGGCCGAATTAGCCCAGGGATCTGGTGAACCTGCAAGGAGGAGGCTGTTGCTAAGCCACAAGCATGTGCCCTCTCTGTTCAGGGCTGCACTGTGCCAGAGGGAACCGGACTTGGGAAATGCTGTTCCCCCAATGAAGGGCCAGGGGAGGCAGAGCAAACTGGGACATTAGAGAGAGGCCCAACCTACTGCCTCTGTCTGACTGTGAGAGCAGAGAACGGGCAAGGCTCTACGGCGTTTCTTTTGTAATAACTCTTTCACCGCAGAGTTATCCGGGCATTAGAAGATTAGCTAAAAGAGATGCACATAGAGACCTCCTAGCGCAGTGCCCAGCACAGATAGGCAACTCCACACTAGCTGTCTGCTCAGCGCACATGCGTTCTTAGCTCCCCCTAAGTCCAGGTACTGTTTGGGACAGCGGCAGTAAGAAGTGAGCAAAACTGTCACTCTTTGAAGCAGGGACTTCGTATTGAGGAGCTGAATTAAAAAGCTCCAAGACTCTGTAGGCTGTGCCGGGGAAGGGGCGGAAGAACTGGGGAGGAACATGAAGCGGGATGGAGAGCAGAGAGAGGCGGTAGGACTAGGGGAGGCTTGCTGTGGGTGAGAGGCGTTTGAGCAAAAGCTTAAAGGGCAGGGTGGGCAAGAGCAGTCCGGGGAGGCAGGGCCACTGTGCACGCCCTGAGCTGAGAGTGTCCTGTGTGGAGGGACACCTGACCTGAGACTGAAGCTAGCTGTTCAAAGGACTCCGAGGGAGGAAATCAGCGAAGAGGGGAGACCTCCAGAGAGAGGTCCTGGAGGGCTTGAAGGTCTCGGCGAGGACTTGGGCCCTTCTTGAGTGAGAGAGCCACTAGCGAAGTCTGAGCACCCGAGAGCCACAGCCTTTGTGGCCTCTTGGCCAGTGGCGGTGGGACAGACTAGAGGCAGGGGTAAAAGTAAAGAGGAGGGCGGAAAATCATTCACTCCAGACACTGCCTGCGCCTGGGGTCAGAAGAGGAAGGCTGTGCGCCCATTGCATTTCAAGGGTGGAACACGTTTAGAAAAGAACTGCCTAGGAAGTCCTAGACCACAGGACGAGGGAGGAAAGAAGTGGCCTTTGACCAGGTCTTGCTTAGCTCCTCGGTCCCAACCAACACAGATTCTGTTCTTACCTGCTGGCCAGATGCTCTGTATCCGTCTCAGGCCACTGCAGAGTCTCTCGGGATGTGCTGGTGGCCTATGTTCCAGTTGGATCTCTGCTCCGGGAAGGGTGGTGCCCGCCCCTTGTTCGACTGACTCACAGTGAACTGGGATGGGCCCAGGTTAGGCTGTGACTAGGTAAACAGAGCTGTCACCAAGCCCACATGAGGCTCTGCCTTACTCCAGACTCGGAGGTGGGCTTAGAGACACACAGCTGACAGGAGTAGGTGTGCAAACCAGGGCTACTTGGCCCTGTGAGGAAGGCAGCCCTGGCTGTGGAGGCCTCGCTCTGCTGAGGGCGAAGTCAGCTGACTGGAGAGCGGTGGGATGAGTAGCCTGGGTTTTTGAGGGTGGCCATATTTTGTAACCTAGTGTACTTCTTAGAAAGGGCCTCTGACTGAACCTAGGGCTCACCATTTTGGGTAGGTTGACTGTCCAGCAAGCCCCTGGGATCTGTCTCTACACCCCCTGTGCTGGAGTGCTGGAGTTACAGATGTGTGCGGCTGTTCACAGCTCTCACATGACTGGTGGGGTCCTCAATAGCCACGGAATCAGCCAGCCAGCCATGCTTATCAGTTTCCCAAGACAGCAGTAAACATGGATCCTTAAAAACTTAACTGATTGTCTCCTGGAAGGAGAATAAGGAACTGTGTTGCAGTAGTGTTGGTGCAGGACAATGGTCTTTTCCTTTATTTCTTTTTGTCATTTTTTTTCTTTTGACACAGGGTCTCTCTATGTGGTCTTGGCTGGCCTGGAGCTGACTATGTAGACCAGTCTGACTTTGAAGTCAAAGAGATCTGCCTGCCTCTGCCTCCCAAGTGCTATGTTTAAGCTTCGTGCCACCATGTCCAGCTCCTTTGTGCGTTTTAAAGTTTGAAATTTTTAAATGTATATTTATCCCACTAAATAATCATATGAACATCAAGTTAAACAGAGGAGGAGGAGGAATTCCTGGTGGGTACAATTGGATGACGTTGTCTAGGGAGGAACCTAGGAGTCATGTGCTGGGCAATCCCCTGAGGAATGACGGAGTGCACCTGCCTACTCAAGGTGGGGCGAGTATCAGGGATGGTTGCCAGGCAGGCTCACCTCACAGTTCCCATGATGAGCCTGGCAGGATTGTACTCACAGCAGATCCAGAGACACTGCCTGCCTGTGAGGAGCCCACAGCCCAGAGTGCTGCACACGGAACACATCCCAGGAATGGCTGACACCCTGTTCACGTGGCCTTTTGCCTCTGACTCTGAGAATCATCATCTTGTATCGCTTATGTTCCCAAAGGCTAAAAACTCAACCTGTTGTCCCTCGAGTGCAAGGCCTACATGTTAGATCTACAAAGGATGTTCTCAAAATAAATACCACAACCAGGGCTGTGACCAGGATTTATTTTTGTTTTTCATAGACTTGAAAGAATAATATTAATAGGTTTCAAACATTGGTGGCTAAATGTTCAGCCTTCATTCAGAAGCTCCTTGTCAGTGCTGTGGCAGACCTG